TTCGTCAGCATTCCTTGCCTTGTCGAGAGAGTCGTGGTCATTCTTCTTTACTCCGGCCCATGCACCATATACCCGTGGCCCAGTGTGTATGAGTCTTGCTACAGAACAGAACGCAAGGGTTTCGCTAACCTTTATCTGGTGAAACGCCGCTTACTGGAGAGAATGTGTGGGACGAAAAAGTGAAGAACCTACTCATTCACTCTCTTATATACGGGAAAATGATAAACACACGAGATCATTTGGTATCACAAATGCATTCTCCATTCTGAATTGCTTCCTTCTTCACTATACCATGGAGCCCACAATCAACGTCGTAGATATCATTGAGTACCTCCGCACACTGTATTACGGAACTCCTTATTGTTTGCAATTTAGTCATATTTTGTCAATCAGCAACTCACAAATAAATTCATTCTTCTCGAAACTTGCGCAGCTTATGCCTTCACATATTCGACCAGCTATTAGTACTGCACATCGAGATGAAAAAATCGACTTTATCGCCACTTTTTCGACCGTCAGCTATTTCAGAAAATTGAAAGCACTTACGCGGAAAAACGAAAAAAAACGAGAGTGAGAGAGCGATGATGTGGAAAATAATGAAATAGGAAAGGACGGGAGAGGGGAAAAGGAGAGGACAATGCGACGATGTAATAAGAAGGGACAACCGCGAAAGAATGCTCAAAAACATCTTAATGACACATGAACAAGAGATTCACTTAGTACATATCGACCAGTCATTTACCAGAAATGAGAAGGTGCAAAAGTCAATTGGAACAATATTTCAAACAACATGCAATTTCCGTCTATAACCATGTGGAATGTCAATGATGACAGTGCAGCAATGATATAAGTTTTTATTTCAAATTGATGAGGACTTATCGAAATCCTAATTTGACAATATGGTTTAAACTAATAAAATAAAAACACATTTAAGAAAAAACGACCAGTGTTCGAGATCAAAACGAGTTGAAAAGGAGGAAAACCGCGGCTCTGAGCATCAAATACTAATCACTGGATGCATGGACCTGCATTCGCTAACTTGAAGCCAGCAAGATGATGCTTGCGCACACTTGATAAGACCAACCCGGATCGCTAGCCACTATGGATAGCCATTCGGCATATTTGGCAATTTGCCATCGTCTTGACGTATCAAATGTGCTAATAACGATGCCGAATCACCAGGATTTGCTTGATCGACATTTCGACTTAACGATGAAATTAAATTAGTTTACATGAAGGACAAAAACAGCGAATACTCACTTCAACAAATCATCAATGCTCTTGACCTCTGCCGCTCTTCGCTTTGCTTGCATAGCTGTTGTCCGATTCTTGTTCTCCTCCTCTGACTTGTCACCTATATCCACCGACAAAGCTCTCAATGTCGTTTTACGCACTACATCGAGCTTTGGCTAAACATTATACAATTGTGCGCTATTAGTCAGCTGTTGAACACAGAAGCATTAATACAGATTGAAGTCTAATAAAGCCCTGGGCATAATCAATCCCACCAGAGGTTTGGTGCCTCTCACTCGACTTCCACTCAGAATTGCGGGGCGTATTGAATGCGTGTGTGGCCTATACAATGAACCGTGGTGACCAGCCGACGTGCGAGTCAGTGTTTCCATCTTCTTAGACGGGCTTGGTATCAAAACGACCCCGGCGGGATGTAAGGCTGTGTTAACTCAAGACCAGTAACCATGCGTGTGTGGAGTGCAACACTTGCCACTAGGCCACTTTCGCCCACATTAATATTAATAATACAGATGTTATGATAAATCTTGTTGCACAGCCATAAACAAATATAAGCTTATGCGCTTGAGACAATCAGCTCTAACTTTAGGAAGAACAATCTAAGGAACTGTGAACTGACGCTTTTCTAACTGGTGAGCTTTATCATGACACTGAATGGACATAACTGTCACTCGTTTCATCGTCCTTTTTGTAAGCTCGCTCACTCTTCGATCCGCCAGCTTCGTGAAGCTCTTCTGTGCACGCTTATTCACACGAAATACATCGATGTGTAATGCAGTTAATAATGCATTAGTGACAAGTTACTATGAAGTGTTTTGAGACAGTTATCAGAGAGATGATCACGTGGAATTCATAAGGTTAGAGCACCTCCCTGCCCTTCGGCATTTTTCACTAGTTCACTATAGCTATTTTCATATGAAATGACACTAAATGTAGATATTTGGCTGTCGAACGATGTGCGATTTTTGCTGTCTTCTGAGTATAATCTGAATAAATATTCAATATCAAAGGAGACTGAAATTTACTTAGTGGGTGGGAACCGTTTGACATAGAAGGTAGGAGATTATTCTTAGCGGCTAATGCTACTTCAGGACACGGAAAAGGACCCCAGAGACCCTTATTATGCGACTACCTGTAAGGCAGAGAAGCAGTGGTAGATACCGTAATGCAAGATAGTGTGGTGCAAAAAAGTGATGAAGCTGACAGGAGAGAGGTACTTTTTGGAGACAAGAATTCTTTTGAAAAACCAAAGTTATTGAGCTGCTGAAAAACCCAGACCACTGTGTAGGAATCATTGGAGTTCATCCTTCTTGATGCGAATTGAATCATTGGTTGGTTCCATCCTTATCGATGCAAATTTCATCAGTTACAATCATTTCAATGCATATTCACATAGCATGTCAGAAACACAGTTTATGATGAAAATGGTTTCTAAGACTATCACTTGGATGTACCTGTGGCCTTCAAGAATGATACATGGGGCGTTGTCGATCGGAAAAACGACGTAGACAGGGTGTAATGCAGGCTCGAAAACCGGTTTGGCCAACATAAACACGCGAAGTGGCCGTGTTGAGCCGGCCTTGTTGAGACTGCACTATTCATAATGTAGTGATGCGACGAATAGCATGCTCATGTGGGACACACTCAGACGGTTACAGACGGCAATTTCACATAACTTTTCTCGCTACACTTTTTGGAGTCTTATTTTGTTCGAAACCGCAATTTTCCGCTCGTTCTTCGCTGCTCTTTGTTATTCTGCACCATGGCTTCCGTTATTTTGCTTAAAATGGATGCCCCACGATTGCCGTGAAGTGGCCTTTGACGCGGTCAGTTCCTCCAGTTTGCCCCTACTGTTTCCATAGTTGAATAATCGGACCCTTGAGTGTTCCCTGGAACGATTTTAATAACCATTGATTCCCGGGTTTCGGTTCCTCCCTGGCTCTTCTCTTGACAAAGTTCTCGACTTCACTACCTTCATTGTACTCAACATTTGCAGCACTCTTCTTTGATAATCTTGTAAGGGTCTCTTTATCTTGTTTGTGATTTAGCAGTGGTAAAATCTGCGACGACTCCCGTCCTACTTATGAAATAAGACTGTAAAATCAGACCTGAGAAAAGCGATTCCTGATCAAGGGACGAAAAATGTTTCATCAAAGTTTGTGACGTAGGAGATATAGGAGATATGGGAGATCAAAGAATCAAACTGACACACGTCAGGAGACATTCGATTGGCCCACGTTCAATGTGACGCTTTTAATTTGAAGCTATATAACAATTGTAGGATAAAAATTCTGTACGAAGGTTCCTTAAACCAAAATCGCATCGGTATTTCAAGTGGAGAAGGCAGATTGATCCATTATAGTAGCAGAAATAAGTGGCCTTTGAAAAAAATTCGATGAGACCGAAACTGCTCCAGTGGACTTAACCTACGCAAAGATCGGCTTTGACAAGTGACTGTTGGAAACCTTATTCACTGATGACTGGAAAGATATAATATACATTTCACAATCGTCGTCTATGCACGATAGCAATTCTACCTAAACGATTAATAATTCTATACCTTCAAAACACTCATCTTCCAAACGCATTCTATTTTCTTACCCAAGAAATACTTGCAGCCTCTATACTTCCTACCAGGTTATTAAGGAGTGCAGAAAGTTCATTGACCTCTGCTCCTTCGTGCGTAATCAGAATACCCTTGCAAGGGGTGCGACACAACTCTAACAAGACCATAACTGACCGCATATCGGGAGACCGGTTGGATTGGACGAATTGCTCGCCGCAAAAATAGCGTGCATGATGGCAGATCATGCACATGTGCTTCCACGGCAATGTGGCTATAGAGGGGGAGGCCAAACTAGACACACCTTTGTGGGGAGACGAAACTCTGGCTTGACAGGTTGCACGTGAGTTGCGAAGCAAGGTGAGCAGTGATTTGGTGGGGCGAAGGACAGATGAGCTCGATAGCTTATCTGACGATGCAACAACCGCGTCTGTTCATTGGAAATTATCCTTGATTTATTCGTTGCAGTGGCCTCCCCTATTGCTGCTTCTAGTACTAGCCTAACACTTCCCTATTATTCCTCTAGCCACCACTATGATTGTACAATAAATTTGTTACGTCCTATTATGTTACTACATTGTTTCTTCTGCAAACAGATCTGTAGCGAATGCCAATGCAAAGTATTACGCTGAACTGCAAGTAAGCGATTGATTGTACAGGCACAGGCTATCACCTCGAGACACACCAGTTCTCTTGAAGTGTGGCGCTATGACCATTGTGCGGTTCCGAGAGGGTAATTATGTTTCTTCTAAAGCTTAGATTTTTGTATCCTTTTCCCCAAACCTACACATTAAAGAAGCAGCGAACAGATTTCGCTCGGTTTCTATCAAGTTTTGTCCTGTAACAAGTTAGTTTTTGCGAGCTGTTTGTGAGAAGCTTACTACTAGACGGAGCCTCCCTTTGACATGACTTCTTTTGAAGCATTTTTAGTGCATAGAATGCTCCTCTGAATGACACTTCGAGAAGCGTTCTATTCAGAATCATGGTGAAACGATGGTGTCATGCGTTCGAAACTTAGTTGAATATCAAGGTGCAGGTTTAGAAACGAACATTTCTCCTTTTTTTGAGTGAGGCTTGATCCCCAAACATGTTATCTGTGCTCTGACTCGAATTATTTCCTTTCATGTTCTGAAATCCTGAAAAAAAAACCCAAACTGAAGCGCAGCATATGAGCCATCATCACCTTTCCATGCATACTTTCCCACTTTTGACATAAAGCGACAGGCTGACAAAAAAACCTACACACAAAGTTTTACATATAAAAAATAAGAAAACACTCGTGGTGACCTAGTAAAAGAAGCAATCTAACACAAAAATACAGCAGTACTATTACGTTGAACCAATGAAATGATAATAATATAATATTAATAAAATATATAAACTTTGTAAAATAATTGCAAATTCCGTCTCTCTCCTGAAACCACACAAGGGTGACGCTGAATGCTTAGGACAACAGGTATAAATCTCGAGGGGAAGATCTGTGCGATGTTCCCTTACCTGCAGCATTATACATATTAGGTTGAGTCATAAGTCCTCGGACAATGTGATGTTGATGAAGTCTAGAGGCCATTACTCGGGAAAGATGTGACGAAAATGGGCGAGGCACCTTAGATAGAGTACAAAAGCTCTCCCAAATATATACTAACAAACACACCTATTTGCTTACTATCCTGCAACCATTCCCCAAGATTTCGAACCGTCGTAACTCCACCTCCGCAACACCATCCTATTTTTTTTATTTGGCCAAGAACCTGCGGCAATCGATAGACGTATGAAGGAAGTTTACAAGAAGACGCCCCTGCTAGAAGCACAACTTACAGGTGGCACTCGAAGTTCACGTCGAGCCACTATTCCATCCAAGATGAAGACCGTCCGGGATGCCCAATGGAGTTGGATTTGGACGTGCTGGGGAGCCAGGTGGAAGCCGATCCGTATCAAACTACTCGTGAACTGCCAGTCACCCTTGTTGTGAGTCAGCACACAGTCGGTCGTGGATTGAAGTTAATCGGCAAGGTGCGGAAGCTCGGTCGATAGGTGCCCCATGCTGTGAAGCAGTATGACGTAGGCCGTTGGCCGACACGGCACTTTCTCTCCTTAAGCTTAACCAATTGACGACCACGGCGTTTTGCGGGAAAAAGCCGCGAGGGACCGGCGCGCTTTTCGTCCACCCGCGACTGCAGCCCACATGTGGACTTCGTGGTCCAGCATGACCATTTTTTGAAGTTCATAAGAGAAAATTATAAGTTTTCAGGAATGTTCCTTTATATGGGTTTGGTAAGAATGTCGTTGAATGATTATTGATCTTTATTATGGAATCGGCACTCGTTTTTGTGGTCATTCAATTATAAGTTAAACCTACCAGAAATCGCTTCGGGGAACTTTTATTTGCGTTGCGTTGGGAGCGTTCCGTTTAGTCAATAACAGCGAGAATGCTAATGACGACCGTCTTTTAAAAATATTTCATTTTTTGAAGTTCTTCAACGAACGAAGAATTCAACAAGGTTATGTACTCCTTCGAAAAAACACCTAATACCATTGTAAAATTAGAAGAGTTTCTAGGAACACGCTGTATGTAGTTCCATTTAGGCCTGATGTAATGTTTTGAAAAGGAAAATTGTAAAAAATTTGAAATATAGATGAATAAAACAAAAAAATACAACTGCAGTCCACATGTGGACTGCACGGTCCCACGTGGGCGAAAAAAGTGCAGTCCACATGTGGACTGCACGGTCGTCAATGGGTTAAGTGCACCCACACGTGGCTCGAGCACCTAGTCACCGGGGATGAGAAGTGGATTCTCTACTCTCACGTACACCGGCGTGCTCAATGGGTTGACAAAGGTGCGAATGCAGTAGACTTCTCTAACCCCAACGTACACGCCAAAATGGTTATGCGCTGCAGTTGGTGGAGCACTCACGGTGTCGAATACTGGCAGCTGCCAGACGAAGCATGTACAGTGACCGCACACGTCTACATTAAGCAACTGAGGAATTTGAAGACGAATCTCGAAGCAACACGTCCACAGCAGCACGAAGTTTACTTCCAGCACGGCAACGCTCGGCCGCATATTGCAAGAACGACCATAAATGAGCTAATGAATTTCGGCTGAATAATTTGACCACAACCACTATATTCCCTAGACTTGACTTCCCCGGATTACCACCTTTTTTCCCATCTTCAACGTCATCTGGATGGTCAAGACTTTCAAACCAGCGACGATATCTAAATGGCACTCGAGCAGTTCTTCAAGGGCCAGCCCCCAGCGTTCTGTAGCAAGGGCACCTACGATCTGCCCACGCCTTGGCAGAAAACCATCGATGCCAATGAGACATATTCCAAATGATTCGCAACAGTCCTTTAAAAACTGTAAGATAAATATTATCATTGTCAATTTATCCGAGGACTTATGACTAAACCTAATACTTTGCAGGGGCAGTCGCTTCAGATCTGCTTGTAAAAGAAGCATGGTAGAAACAGGATTAGACGTGATGAATTCACTATTAAATTGGTTAACTGTGGAATAATTATGTAAAAATCTTAGGAGAATAGTGAGAGTAGCAACGTGGTAGGCCATCACAACGAGTATACTTTCATTTTCAATGTACAGACGCGATTGTTGCATCTTCACCAGCTAATCGAGCTAGTTTGCTCTACTTCAAACCCGCGCTCCAGTGAAACGTCTGAAAGGTCCAAATTGAAACATTTTGCCGCACAGTTTGTGTCCCCTTTATAGTTAGTGCCCTTTGGACCCATACGGGCCCATACGGCCTGGCAGCCTATATGGGCCACGGTTAGTGCAGCGGAAAAGACGCCCATCCGTGGGAGACGTATTCGCGAAACCTGCGCTCGTCGTTCAGTTCACTCAACGTTGAGGGTCCTTTATTGAGTTGAGAAGCGGGAATATTGATGATCATTATTTCTTCGCTCGTGAATAGGACGAAAAATCTCCGAGGATTCTTGAAAATGGTGAAAATAGGGGATCCTGTTACGGAAATGGCATGGAAAGGGTGTTTGGATGAGATTTCAGTCATTGCAATTGTGTAAAGAGCTGGCTGCAGCGGTCCAATATGCACGAAATAGCCTTCCGCTGTCGCTATGGTTCACAATTAGCTGTTTGAATTCCCAAACATATGCATCCCATTGTCAATGATGCAGTCTTTACAACGCCGTCAAAACACACATCAGGCCTTTGTTGTGGACGTCGACCAAGTGAGTCTCTGAGCCTTCTTTATCTAGATGGTTTTTTGACCCGACGACGTCTCACATGACATACTTGGAGGCAGTTTGTTCGTTCTAAATGAAAATTTGTAAAGCATCACCACGAAAAGTATCATGAACTGTTCCTTAGTAGGCTTGAAGTTATAGTGCAACAAACCACAACATAATTTGAAAATTTCTAGTAAGAAGTATTGAGAAGTTCCATCGATATTTTGTACTGAAACTGCACACACACAAAAACCTCCCTAGAAATGCGTGCAACAAGTTGTTCCAAAGCGGCGCACCGCGAAAAGGCGTACACTCCATCACACTCTTCAGTTTTCCTTACAATAAATAATTTGCAAAAGTGTCCAACAGAAGATCCAACACTTTTGAGGATTTGTTAAGATGGATACAAGGTAGCTGCAGAGTTGGGGTAGGATGTGTAAGATTTGTAACTCACTTCCGTTGAACAACGATATCATGGATGTACAGACATCTTAAAGACTCAAATGGGGACAATGTATGTCATTTGTGATATTTATGATCTTGTGCCACACGAGATCATAAATATATAAATATGCAATAGGAGTCAAGACGCTTAATGGATGACGTGTAAATCACTTCGAATTACGTTAAGGCCTCTGAAGACGACGATTGCGTCGAAACGTTAGGCCGTTTGACCAAATAAACTGTTCCACTTAAAAACCTCGTGTGGCACAAGATCATAAATATCACAAATGACAGCTATGCCGAGGTTAAAGGCACAGTTCACGATAATTTTGGGTAGTCCAGATTATGATGAAAAATGGACGACAATATCGAAAACAGTGTGATGAAGGTGGAGAAACTGCGTGAATCGGTGTTTCCAAAGTGAAAAAAGCTTCGAAAAAACGTTAAACAGGGGGCTGGACGAGAATGAGTTCAGAAAAATGAAGAAGAGTTGGGCGGCTGAACGAGCTATACAATGTGTTTCACTGCATGCGTGTGGGTCCTGGAGCCAATAAAAGACAATGGTAAGCGAAAGTTCATTCACTTATAAGCATAAGTAAACAAAAAACCCTAGTAACAGCGAAAGTAGCTCACCTTTTTAAGCCTCTAGGAGTGGGAAATTAAATAAGGGACCGCGGCAGCAAGAGGAATAGCAGAGGAAAAAAGAATGGGAGAAAACATCGCCTCATTACTCGGCGACAGCTGATTGTGTGTGGGTCCTAAACGAAAATCTGCAATCTGTACTGTCTCGACACTCGTCTGACCGTCTGACGTGACTTCGATCAAGAGTCGGGAAGGCCATTGACGTCCCCGCCCATTGAATTATCGTTAACCGTGCCTTTAAAGCATGAGAGAAGTTGGAGACTATTCAAAGAAGTACCGCCAAACGTATTCTCTCTGGTGCGCGAAACAGTTTCGCTTCGGCAGAAGGTGATGGCCACTCGTCAATCGTTAAAGTTCCTCCAACGGTGCAGAACGAGTGGCGTGCTCCCGCGATTCATTTCCAACAAGAAGATAGGAGCTACATGGAATATCTTTGAAGATCACCCGGTGATGACGACCATTTATCCCTCGATTCTAAGTGTAGTGATCAAAGAGAAGCAGCGTGTATTGTATTCTTCCTTGTTGAAATGTGGATTAAAAGAACGAGCTTGCCATGAGGGTGAGACGAGGAAGATTTGCAATTCCATTCGGTCTGCGGCAAAATCGACCCTAGTTGCAAAGTACGACAAGCTGTGGAATTCTCGTCATGGGAATAACCACAGGAACGGAACCCATATCACCATGGATCATCCTTACAGGAGCCACGAAGCTCGCAGCGAAGGTAATGTGGCACGGGTTACGGTTCTTGGCGACACTCTCCTCTAATGCTTCGGACGTGTTAAATCCAGGTCCGCCTTTCTCACCTGCGCAAAATATAAACGCACATACGTTTCGCAAAGTTGTTGGAGGTCTCCAGAGGTTTAGAGATCTGCTGCATTCTAGCAGACGGAATCATGAGATGCTGACAATTAATTCTGATTTGATAGCTTCTGTACCATTTCCGCGTAATTTCTATAAAGGACCCCCACCTGTGCCCGAGGCTGACGTTAAGTTTAAAACATTATTCTCAGGAGTCCTAACCGTTCTCAACAGGAACAGAAGGCTTCAGAATACGAACTTAACGTGTAAGCAAAGGCAAGGGTTGAGAGGATTACGCGAGTCAAGATCTAATGGTACCTTGCGCATATCAGTCAGCGATTAGGGTGGCGAGTTTGTTGTTATGTCTCAAACACTTGACCGAGCCATAACCGAACCCCACCTTAGCGACTCCTCTGTTTACTGTCGCGCAACTGAAAAGGACTTTTCATCACAGTGTAATCGCCTCAATCATATATGGTTGAGTGTCGCTAAATCTGCAGACATTGATGAAAGGTTGGTCAGTAGACTCAAATTGGCTAGCCCCAGCTGTCCAGTTTTCTACAGCCTCATTAAGACCCACAAACTCTCCTCTCACGAAATGCTGTCAACATCACCGGATACTTTCAAAATTTGGCCTATTATTAGTTGTGTAGGGAGACCAACTGACAGGATTTCGTGGTTTCTCAGTAATATTGTAAGCCAGCTGTTGACCATGGTCCCGTCTCACCTCTCCAATACTGAGCATTTCCTTGAGCTACTACATAGCTCAGAGCTCGGTCGGAGTAATGTAGTTGAGTCATTTGATGTAGTTTCGCTTTACACTAATGTCCAAAACGAGCAGGCACGATAAGCACTATCTGAAATGCTTGATAGGCATGCTAATAATATTTACACCTTTGGACTTACAAGGGGAGGATCCCAAGTCGAAGTGGCTATTTGAAATGAGACCTACACTGCTAGACGTATTTTTTGATGCTGATCTCAAATCTGCTTTCAAAATCTGCCAAACGATTCTCTGAGCGAAGTTATGGAGGTGGTCTTCGAAGATACCTAAAGAGAGCG